GGACACACATGCATGTGGACCCTGTGTGTTTCTCAAGCCTCTGGGGTTGGGAATTGACCCATAGGATCGGCCATGTGGGATCTAGCTGCATTAACCAGTATATTTTTGTATAAGATAGGAGATTTCGTTCAAGGCTTTTTTGTTTTTGTTTTCTGCTTGTGGATATATAGTGCCATTTGTTGAAAACACTATTCTTTCTCCATTGACTTGTTTTGGTCAAAAATCAGTTGGTCAAACTCATGTGGGGCTCCTTCTGGACTCTGTCCCATTGAGCTGTGTATCTTTCTTTTAATTTAAGTTTATTTCATTCGGGACCAGCAGTTAACGTAATGGCTATGTCGCTGGACTCCCACGTAGTCGACCTTGGTTCACGTCCCGGACCCAGTGGCTTAAAACTCACACCGGGCACGTATGTATGCGTGCCCAAGATCCCGAGAGGAGAATGGAGGAGAAGGGATTGCGGCGTGGCCATACCCTAGAGGGGCAGTTTCTCTCTTTCTATCTCTCTGTCTATCTCTGTCTGTCTGGCAAGCGCACACGCCCTATAGCAAAAACCTCTCCAAAAATAAAGAAATAAGTTTATTTCATTCTTCCGTAAGTGGGAAAGACAGAGATGAAGAAACATACACAGCAACCCCAATAGGGTCTTGACACCATGATCTACCCACAACTTCAGCAGGCCCTGGATCCTGGGGTGCACCTGCCCGGCCTCTGCTCAAGGAGGTCTCGGGATACAAACCTGGAGCCATCCCATGGAGGTCAGCCTTTCAGAGCATGTTTGCCGCTGCCCTCCCTGTGTGCCTGTCTTTTTACCACTACCACACTGTCTTAGTCACTCTAGCTGATCATAGGTGTTGAAATATCTGATGCCTTCTACTTTATTCTTCGTCTTTATTATTTTTTTTAAGTTTGCCAGAGAGCACATGTGCTTACCAGAGCAGGGAGGGGGAGAAAGCACCCTCCATGAAGAATGGTCACGATGCAATCCCTTCCCCTCCATTTCTCCCTTCTTTCTGGATTTTGGCACACATGCATACATGCCTGGCATGTCTTTTAAGCCACCAGGGCCATGGCTCCAGTCATGCGGTCACCATGTAGGATCCAGCTCCCTTAACCACCACAGTCTGGCCCTACTTTGTTTTTCTTCTTCAAAATTAGTTAAGCTCCTCTAGTTCCCTTGCCTTTCCATTTAAAGTTTAGAATAAGCAGTGCATATCTACAAGAAAAAGAGCTTCTTGGGATTTGGGTAGGAGTTGCGTTAAACCTGTTCAGACATATCTCATTTTATTGCATTTGTAAAACTTCATCTTTTATAAATTGAAGATTTGTGACAAGCCTGCATTGATAAGTCTATTGGTGCCTTTTCTCCAATAGCATGTACTCGCTTTATGTCTCTATCACATTTTGGTATTTCTTGCAATAAATCAAAGTCTAGAACTGCTTAAGCTATCAGAGAAGGCATGTCAAAAGCCCAGAGAGGTTGAAAACTAGACCTCTCATACCAAACGATTAGCGAAGTTATAAATGCAAAGTCCTCCAAGAGAATTAAAAGTGCTGTTCCAGTGAACACGTGAAGAATACGAAAGTGAAACAGTCTTATCTGTGATACGGAGAAAGTTTTAGTGTTCTGGATAGAAGATCAGGTCAGTGACATTACCCAGAGCCAAAGCCTAATCCAGAGCAAGGCCCTCATTCTCTGTAATGCTGTGAAGGCCAAGAGAGGTGAGGAAACTACAGAACAGAGTGTAAGCTTGCAGAGGTGAAGTCAGGAGTTGAAGGGAGGAAGCCGCCTCTGTAACATAAGAGTGCAGTGTGAAGCAGCAACTGCTGTTGGAGAAGCTGCCACGAGTTATCCAGAAGATCTAGCTAAGGTCATTGGTGAAGATAGCTTCACTGGAACAACAGATTTTTGCTAGAGGTTGTGTGCACTGCCAGAGAGACAGAGAGATAGTGAGAAATCACCCCCACCACCCGCCGGGGGGGTGCAATCCCTTCTCCTCCGTTCCTCACTCAGGAACTTAGGCACGTATGCACATGCTCCCAGAGTGAGTTTCAAGTTTCCAGGTCCAGGACTGGAACTGTGGTCAGCCATGTAGGAGTCCAATGCCATAACCATTATGCTACATGCTAGTCCCCAGAACAACAGATTTTTCTTTAAAGAATTATTTATTTATTTAATTCCATTTTTTAAAAAAATTTGACCAGAGAGAGAGAAAGGGAAAAGGAGAAAACAAGCTGCCAGGTCCAGGACTCAAACCATGGTCATCCATCTGGGAATCCAGTGCCTTTAACCAGCATACCACCTGCTGACCCAGAACAATAGATTTTTAATGTTAATAAAAATAGCCTTATATTAGAAGAAGATGCCATCTAGAACTTTCATAGCTAGGGAGGAGTCAGTGTTTGGCTTTAAAAAACAGGCTGAGGTTGGGACCAGCAGGTGGTATAATGGTTACGTGGCTGAATTCCCACATAGTTGACTATGGTTCGAGTCCTGGATCCAGCAGCTTAAAACTGATACCAGACGTGTGTGTGTACGTGCCCAAAATCCCGAGAGGAGAATGGAGGAGGAGAAGGATTGCGGTGCGGCCATCCCCCCCACCAGGGGGTAGGGGGTCTGATTTCTCGCTTTCTGTCTCTCTGTCTATCTCTCTGGCAAGTTCACATGCCTTATAGCAAAAATCTCTCAAAAAAAAAAAGAAAAAAGAGAACCAGGCTGAGGGACCAGCAGATGGTGTGGTGGTTAAGGCACTGGACTCCCACACAACTGACCAACTTTTCACAAATGTAAAATAACAGTGGAGTGAGCATTTTTGGCATCTTGATTTATTTCCTTTGGGACACAATTGTAGAAGTGACACAGCTGACACAAAATGTGTGTGAGGCCCCTAACGCCCTTGTTGAGCTGTGGCGAGTATAGTTTGTGGAGGGATCCTGGGGCAGCTGGGATGCTCGGTACTTGCACTAGTGAGAAGGCCATGTTACTGAGAACTCATTTTTAAAACAGCTTTGTAAACAAATTAAAAATCAATAAGGTTCATACATGGTCCAAAGTTCTTTGTTGGAAACCAATGACCCAGCTAGTAACCACTCCTTTCCTGGGAATAGTTAAGGGCTTTATTAGCACCATGGTTAAGGAGGCTGGGTCTCACCTGGCAAACCACAGATCCATTCCCAACCCAGTGGCTTGAAAAACATGCCAGACACATTTGCATGTGTGCCCCAAACCCCAACAGCTTGGAGGCATGGAAGAGAAGGGATTGTGGTGTGGCCTGGCCCAGGGGGTGCTTTCTCCCTCCTCCATTCTCCCTTCTGCCTCTCTATCTCTGAGGAGTGCACATACCCTCTGGCAATAAAAAAAAAAAAAAAAAAGGAATGTCCTGATCATAATCCTCATAAACCCATTAGATGATTTTTCTCTTACATTTCTGTTAATAGGTGATTGTTTCCTTGTCATGGCTCCAAGGGGCCAGCACATGCAGGTGAAGTGGAAATTCTACACTCACCTGCCACCCTAACTTTTTACTGGAACTGGGATTAGCTCACCATACAACAGAAGCATGGAAGAGGCTGAGACTGGTGTTGAGGCCATTAGCACCAGCAGGAAGCCACCTGCACTCCTGGGCTGGTGTTTGCAGAATGCAGGGGTGAGGGCCACCTAGGCAGAAGTTGGACCAGGGCCGACCTGTCCTGAGGGTGGAGGAGCTTCAAGGAAGCAGCCCCTCCTGGAGACACTGCCCTGGTGGGAGGGAAGCCCTGCGGCCCCTTTAACACTCGCCCTCTGATCTGCCGTCTAGTTCCTCCTCCCATGGATCAAACCTAACATGAAGGAGGATCCTGGAAATGCAGCCAGCAGGGCTGATAGAACAGAGCTGAGGACAGGCAGGAAATGGACCTGAGACACATAGGCCCAAGTTGGCACCAGATCCAATAACCCCTGAGGGTTGGAATAAATGGCCTCTATTCCTGATTTTGTGCCTTTCCCTGTGACCTGCTGACGCTGCTCACTCCTACTGTCCGTGCTGGCCTGGCCTCCCCTCTGCTTCCTCTTCCCTGCCATTGCCACCATATCTTGCCTAATTTCCCCATGATAATTTAATCGTTTAAAGCCTTTGCATTAAGGACTTATTTGGGATTTCATCAAATGTATAGACCAATTTAGAGATAGGTAGCATCTTTATAGTAATGAATCTTCCTGAAGATATGGTTGTTTATTCCGTGCCAGGGTTTGTTGTTGGTTTGGTTTTGTTCTAATTTGCCAGAGAGTGCTTGTGCTCTCTGGAAAGAGAGAAAGTGAGATAGCAGCTTCCATGGGGAATGGCCAGGTCACAATCCCTTCTCCTCCATTTCTCCCTCCTTTGGGGATTTGGAGCATGCACGCACACATGCCTGGAGTGTTTTCAAGCTACTGGGTCTGGGACTTGAGCCGTGCAGTTGGACATGTAGAATCCAGCCACCTTAACCACATATTAGCAGTTGGCCCTTTTTTTAAAAAAAATTTGTTTATTTCTTCCATGAGAGAGAGAGGGAGAAACAGTCACATCTAATAGGGTCTCTGGTCTCAGCCAGCTCAGATCAGGATACACAGACTCAGCATGTTCAAGAGGTCCCAGGAAAAGAACTCGGGACTTTTCCCCTGTGGGTCTAGCTCTGTTACACTATGCCACTGCCTGGCCCTTAGCTTTTTGTAGTTTTTTTAAAATGTCTTTCAATATAGCGTTACACTTTTCTTTATCTAGGTCTTGATGGGTTTTGTTTATTTTTTAGGTATTTTGCTATTTTCCCACCTATTTTGAAAGGCTCATTATTTTTCTATGCATTTTCCAATTGGTGACAGCTGGTACACAGGAAGACTTCGGTGTTCACAGGCTGACCTCAAATCTGACTGGCTACCTTACTGAGCTCCCTTTGGAGCGCCCTGTTTCATTTCGTTTTCCATGTTGTTTATTTTGGATTTCCTGGTTGGCAAACGCGTCGTCGGCAACTGGTTTTCTTTTTAGATTTATGCAGAGTCAAGTAAAAGCTGGCTGGCGGGGAAGTTCACGGAACTCAGATTACTCCTTGATGAAGAGGAAGTGCTGGCCAAGAAATTCATCGATAAAAATGTGCAGCTCACCCTTCAAGTGTACAGAGAGCAGGCCGAGGCGTACCAGGAGCAAATCCGTGTCATAAACACTCTCTCCAGCAGGGTCTGCAGTATCAGCCAGGAGTCCAACCCTGTGCAGAAGCTGCAGGTAACGCCGGGGTTTCTGCTCTTACAGCTGCCACCCGCCACCCATGTTTCATGTCAGTGGTGGCCCTGAGCGCGGTATCTACACACAAAGCAAATACACAGGGACTGTCTTGTTACACGTGGACCTTCTTGCCCCTAACTCGAGTGGCCAGAGGATATACATTGTTAGGAAGATAATATACCTCTGGAACTGATGAATAATATTAACAGCCACCATTTTTTTCAAGGGCCTCTGTTTTCCAAGCACCTAATGTATTATAGCCCTAGTATGCACTAAAATTCTGCAAAGTGCATATTCTCACCCCATCTTATGAATGAGGTTGTGGTTCAGGGAGGTGGAGTGATTTACTGAGGCTTGCACAGCTGGTAGGTGGCACAGCTGGGGTCAGAACTCAGGTCTGTCTGATTCTTTTTATATTTTTTAAAGGCTTTTGTCATAAGGTGGGTACACTTGCCGGAGAGAGACAGAGACAGTGAGAGGGAGAGTGAGAAATCACCCCCTGGGGGGGATGGCCATATCCCCATCCCTTCTCCTCCTGGAATTTTGGACACACACGTGCACACACACACACACACACACATGCCTGGCATGATTTTGGCCACCGGCTCTGGACCTTGAATACTGTGCCTGCCACCTGCAGGCCCTGGTCTGTCTGATTCTAAATCCAAAAGACATGTGGCCTGATTCTCTGCCTGCATGGTCTTCATCAAGACATTTCTCATGAAAAGTTAGGTGTTCTTTCAGCAACTGAGCAAATTTCAAAAGCTGAGTCACAGTTGGCTTGAGGGGAGAGAAGGATGGTACTTCTTGGTCACTGGGCTTTGTTGAGGAAGAATCTAAGAAATAGCCGCTATAATGCACATTGCTACATTTAGTGAAAGAGAGTTGTTAAGGATAGTCTTCCTATCTCCAAGGAACTATGGAGAGATTCCTATCTGGTGTCAGTATCCCGTACAGTCACGCATGGACTTGGATGACTTTTCAAGAGGGAGAGTGAGAAATCACCCCCTGGGGGGGATGGCCATATCCCCATCCCTTCTCCTCCTGGAATTTTGGACACACACGTGCACACACACACACACACACACATGCCTGGCATGATTTTGGCCACCGGCTCTGGACCTTGAATACTGTGCCTGCCACCTGCAGGCCCTGGTCTGTCTGATTCTAAATCCAAAAGACATGTGGCCTGATTCTCTGCCTGCATGGTCTTCATCAAGACATTTCTCATGAAAAGTTAGGTGTTCTTTCAGCAACTGAGCAAATTTCAAAAGCTGAGTCACAGTTGGCTTGAGGGGAGAGAAGGATGGTACTTCTTGGTCACTGGGCTTTGTTGAGGAAGAATCTAAGAAATAGCCGCTATAATGCACATTGCTACATTTAGTGAAAGAGAGTTGTTAAGGATAGTCTTCCTATCTCCAAGGAACTATGGAGAGATTCCTATCTGGTGTCAGTATCCCGTACAGTCACGCATGGACTTGGATGACTTTTCAACTAATATAACTCTTCCTGTTTCCTTCTTTGCTTTGGCCCCTAGGAGGCTCAAAGCCAACAATGCTTCAACTAGTGAGGCTAAGACTTGATGGCACACGTTTTGTGCTTGAACTCCCTCTAGCCTCCAGCTTAAATTCTTGTCCTAGTTTTTTCTTTGCTTCATTGTTCTTTTTTTTTTTTTTTTTTTTT